TACCAATTTCCCAAGAAGAATGCAGTTATGAACAGCAAACATATACTAATAAAAAAATTTAAAAATTTCAAAGCCTTATTGCAGTGATCATTAGGGGAAAAATGCACAATATCAAACTACAAAGCATAAATCAGTCATACAAGCTATACAGCTCTGCCAATATCTGAAAAAGTAATCAAAGATTTGTACTAAAGAAAATATTAGTTGGGTGTGGTGGTGCATTCCTGTCATCCCAGCATTAGGAAGGCTGAGGCAGGAGGACTGCCATGAGTTCAAGGCCAGCCCTGGCTACATGGTGAGGTCTCACCTCAAAAAAAAAGATACTAGACTCAAGTGCCTCATAAGCAGCATTTCAAGGTTTCAAGGAAATCCTTATATTAAATAAACTCTTTCAAATGACAAAAGTAGTAAAAAGTTCACCAAGTTTTTCTACATAAGCAGAACTACAGACCTTTAATATCAAAAACCAGATAGGAAGAGCACAAAGGAATTCTAATACAAGGAAATCTAATGTTATTTTTCATTAAAATATTAAAGAAAATAAACTAAACAATTCAGCAAATATTTGATCCTGTCTCATCTTGTACTGAGAATGCAACAGCTGCTGCTTGCAAGCTGGGAAGGGCAAGCCCTGAGCCCGGCTGGCAGCTCCTGTCCCCTACCTCCGTGCGGGCAGGTTGACCCCCGCTGCCAGGGTGGACGTGCAGGTGAGAAGGCAGAGGACACCGGCCGAGTAGGCCTCCTCCAGCAGCTTTCGCTCCTCGCCTGTGAGGCCACCGTGGTGGTAGGCGACCCCAAAGGGCACAGTGCGCCTCAGGATAGGACACAGGTGGCCGCTGCTGCTGCTCCTTAAGTTCTTCATCAGCTCACACTTCTCCTTCTCTCTGTGCTTCAGGTATTCCCTGGAAAAAGGATCAGTGAGAAGCATGAACTCCTGGTTCGTCGGTGACAAGTGCTTATCATTTTCATCCGGGTAGATGCTGTGTGCACATCTGTTATAATGTACATATCGATACAAGTACATAAAATGTTCTTGGAATTTTGACTCTGACTTCATTAACTCAATCTTCTTGTGGATTCCAGAACTCTATAAAAATGTGACTACGCTAACACCAAATACAATTTCAGGGGACTCATGGATGGTCATTCCCAAACTTCCTGTGAATCTTTGGGACACCAGGTTTAGACCCTTGCTATAGATGTTATGATTGCTTTTTCTTGGCTATATATATCCTCATAGGTCATGCTTTGTTCTATTTTGAGACATACATTTTCCTCCCCTGGAGAAACGTGCATGTATTAAACCATATTTGCGACAAGGTTAGGTGGTAAAGTACTGTCTAAATACTAGGACTTTACAAACCTTACTTCAAGTATCATAGCACCTAAAATTATTTGAAGAAAATAATTCAAATATCTAAATACCTTAAATTATCCCAAAAAAATGAATGATTTACTGAGTGTATTAACATCTTATTCTAAGAAAATGATTTACTGAGAATACTTTCATGGTAATTCACCACTGTAAAGTAGATTATGTTTCCAAAATGAGCAACTCCTTGATCTTATCCCAAATATCTGTACCATTCAGTGAATTTAATTCTACTATAGGCGAATCTATGGCAGTATGGCTGGGGACGGAGGTGGAGGATAACTAGATTAGAATCCAGGTTAACAGTCTCTTACTAATGTATAGCCTTAGCTAAGAGCAGAGAAGAACTCTGAAAAAACTGATGAAACCACACATAGGACAAATAGGTGCAGAACAAATGCTAAACTATGAGTATTTAAAGTCACTTTATACTGAGCAAAGCACAGCCAACAATGAAGAATCATAAAACTCGCAACAATACATTTTCTAGGTTCTTAGGAAATTCAACTCAAACATTCATACGATCTAAGTGTAAAACTAAGAAAACTACCATGGCACTTCACTTCTGAGCAGGCCATGAGGAAGGTGCCTTGTCCCCACAGTGAGCAGTCCTTTGATTAGTGTGCTGTATGTGGCCTTGCCTGGGTCCCATTCTCAGAGGCTTAGATTTGTCTAAGATGTAGTACAGACACTGCAATTTTTAAAATCTCCAAGGTGACTCACTGAACGATCAAGGTTCTGAATCACTGATCTAAAACTTTATACTGGTTTACATTCTCTTACTACAACCCTGGGAATTTTCCATTATTATCATTATTATTATCATTATTATTACTTTTTTTTTTTTTTTTTTTTTTTTTTTGAGGCAGTGTCTTGATATGTAATTCAGGCTGGCCTCAAACTCCTGGTGATCTTCCTGCTTCAGCCTCCCAAGTACGGGGATTACAGGCCTGTGTCACCACACCCAGCAAGAATTTTCTATCTGAAATGTGAATTTTACCATTAAATTTTCTTTCTTCAAGATCAATTCCTTCATAATCTAGTAAAAAAGTGTCATGCAAGAAGTAATGAGTAGTCAATAAAATATAGCCTATAATTCACAGTATCAGTAAAACAGAATGTTTGTAGAAGGTTAACATACTTGTCTAAAAATTTGCACAACATTTCTGCTACATTTTCACAGTTCTTCTTACTGGGACAAAAAACTAAGCAGGAATAATTGGGTATAACCTCCGTTACCAAAGCCACCAAGTGATCGGGATCCATCTTTCTCAGGGAATCAGAATACTGCAAAACAAGATGTAGGAACCAGGAAGTCAGTAATGACAAAAATCTGTCAATTTTTACCACAGTGACTCGAAGGGTAAGTAAGCCACCTCTAACTCTGATCTTCTCCTTTAGCTAAGCTGATCATTGAAAAAATGAGATCTATTTTAAACGTCAAGATATTAAATTTTACCTTATTCTTTGGTTATTTGTTAAAGATTTGTTTATAGGTATATTTAGCTTGAAAAAAGGAATTAAAGACGTGAGTTAAATTACAGAAGTGAAATTAATCGATGGTATTAATAACTCTACTACATGCCCATCTCTACCAAAGCAGAACAAGAAAGTCCACAGAGAAAGAGCTTTATCTTTTTTTGATTTTGACTTAATCATAGTTGAGGGGCTGCATAAATAAGTCCTGTATTTATTATCAATATGTTCTTTATTATTCTAAATAGTTCTAAAAAATACAGATTTACTAATACTAAAAGGATATACTTTGAGAAACAAAAAAGTACTGCTAACACTGAGTTAGGACAATTTTTGTAACATAGAGTCAGAAGGAACTTGAAAAAAAAGGATAAAGCTATTTAAAAATCTTATTTCTTTTTGCTACACCAAAAATTAAAATATGGACTTAGAATATCTTATAGAATTCTGCTATAAATTTCCTTCTTCCTTTTTAATAGCCAGCTCTTTAAAAATCTGATTGGCCAGGGATATAGCTCAGGGACACAAGTGCCTGCCTGGCAAGCACAACATCCCGAGTTCAATCCCCAGTATCAAAAAAAATTTGATTGAAGCCAGCTGTGGTGGCACACACCTGTCTGTATTCCCAGAAATAGGGAGGCTGAGACAGTAGGATCACCATGAATTCAAAGCCAGCCTGAGCTACACAGTGAGTTCAAGGCCACCCTAAACTGCATAGCATAACCTGTCCCAAAAAAGAAAAGAAAAAGAATCTGATCAACTGACTGATTACAGTACTGGGGACTGAATCTAGGGCTTTTACACTGAGCTATGCCCCCAACCCTTTTTTAACTTTTTAATTTTAAGATAATGTTTTGCTATCTTGATGGGGCTGGGCTCAAACCTGTGATCCTCCTGCCACAGCAACCCAGAGTACTTGGAAGTACAGGTGTGTATCACCATACCCAGGCTCCTTTTTAAACATTTTTATTTTGAGATAGGCTGGCCTTGAACTTGTGATCTTTCTGCCTCATTCTCACTGATAGCTGGGATTAATGGCAGTCATTAACATTTTTATATTCCAATATATTATCTATATGGTCTATAAATTATTCTTTGAGGGCTGGAGAGATAGCTCAGCAGGCTAAGCGCCTGCTTAGGCAAGTGCAGGGACTAGGGTTCCATCCTCCTGTACCACATGCTGCGACCCTGCCCCCAGGGACACGGAACAGGCCACTGAGACAGGGTGTAGTGGTGTAATACCAGAGCTGGGGAGGCTGAAAACAGGAGGAACACTAGGAGGCCGAGTTGTGTAGTGAGACCCTATACATAAATATATGTACCATATACATAAATATATATGTAATATATAAATTATTCTTTGTTCTTCCAGTTGAATAAACATTTACAGGAGAGGTTTCCAGATTTGCTTGGTTCAGAGTCCCAAGGCCAAAAGAAATACAAATTTTATCAGTCAGGTCCAAACAACTTCATAAATATGTACTTTCTTCAATTTAGTATCCATTTCAATAAAAAACATGTTAATTATTCAGTAAACACAATGGCTCGTTAACAGGATGTGCACACAATGTTAGTATCTTTCTAATGTCAGACTGAGGTTGGACATAGCCAACATCCTTCCAGACTGATTTTCACATGGTACCTGCATTTTGCAGCTATAAAAACTCCAACTTAACAAAAGCAAAGTGCAGAGAAAGGAACGGAGCGTGACCTGACGTTAAAGCTGGAAACCTGAGTGAGGAGGCGCTCAGGGGCGGAGCCCCTGCTTGGGCTTTAGACAACAGCCATCAAGCAAAACAAAGAAGCTGAGCAGGGCACTGACTGGTGGAGTAGTTTGTGTGTTGTCCAACGGGCGCCCCACACAGCCATTTTATGAAGAATGCCAACCATCCATGGCACCGTGTGACTCTCTCTCCTGGTGCCCAGGACAGCTGGGGACAAAGTACGGGAAGCAGAGATTTCAGGATTATCAATTTTACCTTATAATGGAGGAGGCGTGAGAAAGTCATGCTGCTTTCAGCTTTGCTGTCCACTTCATATATTGTATCATTTATTTTCAGATATTCTTTTAATTCAACCTGAAATAAGAGGAAAATTGCAATTAGTGTAACATGTGACTTCTTTTCAGCTTCAAATTTTGTAAAATAAGTAAAAAAGAATAGCTATACAAAGATGTTAGCTTTTCTGAGATATCTAAATCTTAAACATGCTTCAACTTGCAAGTTCTTGGCTACCTTTTTTGATCCTTTTTTCCCCATTAAGTAAAAACAGGGCTTAATATCCTTGAAAACATTTTTGAGTTAAGTAGTCACATATCCAAAAGGAAAACAGACATTTGTATTTGTTACAAGAAGTTTAAGTGATTTATGGCGTTTACATTTTTTGTTAAGGAGTTGTTTCTCAAGATCTAAAACTTTCTCTTGCAATTCTATCAGTTATCAGTTGTAATTATAAACACCACTATACTATTTTCAATTTAAGTGTTTGTAAAAAATTTTTATAAACCCAGCTCATTATACTTTTGAATGCATAACATCTAATGTCATACATAAGGTCAGAAAGTAGTTTTTCGAAATTTACATATTGGTGTGAATATAAACATGTCAAACTTTAAATTAAAATTTGGTGATTCTCAGAAGTTATTTTTGAAAATCTATTCTACACAAAATATTCACACTAGTACTGCAGACAATATGGCTATTACAAGCTACTTTCAAGGAAATATTAATTATATTTGGTTACTTTCTTCAAGCATTTTGGAAATGTAACTGAGGAGCTTAAATTTAAATCTAAGCTGGTGATTATAGCTCAGTGATAGAGTGCTTACCTAGCATGCATAAATCATGGGTTCAGTCCCCAGTTCCACCACCACCGAAAAAAATAAATAAATCTAAGTGAAGTCTTAATCTATTAAAAGGTATTATAATTACTAAAGCATAAACACTTGAAAATATTTTCAGATAGACTTTTAAGGTGTCAGTAACTGTAAACATGTTTCACTAAATTTTGGCCAAATGACAAATTTCCTTTGGAGAATAAGGAATGAGAAAATGAAATACAGCTGTAAGTATTCATTCTACAAATGTCCTCTGAGGGATCAGAAGCCAGATATTGTTCCAGGTGCTGTAGCCATGAGAGTGACCTCCAACCCAAATCCCTAACCCCACAAAATTTGCATCTGCTACACCCAAACCTGAGCAGAGTCAGGGTGACTGGAATTAACGCCCCACTACTCCAACTGTGTTCACTCCTTTTCTAAGATGAGTATACAATAAGTCAGTACAGTGTAAACCGTGGGTACATACTGGTCTAAACTGACTGCTGTAATATTCTGCTTGAAGAAACTCCTGCAGGTCCTTGACATTGTTTAACGTTGCGCTCATACCAATAATTTGAGTTGTTTCTGAAAAAGAAATAAACAAAATCTCTAAGTATTAAAATGTGTTAGGGCCGGGGAGATGGCTTAGTAGAATAAGCGCTTGCCTGGCAAACACAAGGGGGTGAGTTCAATCCCTGACTCTGAAAAAAAAATGTGTTATTGGTCAGGAATAAATAAATCTGAACCCCTTTAGCCCCACACATTTCAGATAAACGATACTCAACATACATTTACATTTTCTTACCCTCTCTCTTTCCTAGATGGCTTAGGAAGAATTTTGAGCATTAAAATGTTGCTAAAGTAAATTTATGACATATTCTATTCTATTTATTGTTATTTATTATTTATTTTGGTACTGGGAATTGAGCTCAGGATCTCATGCTTGTCAGGCAGGCACCATGCTGGCCTCGAACTCAAAGTGATCCTCCTGCCTCAGCCTCCCAAATTCTGGTATTACAGGAATTTAGCACCTTGCCTGGCTCTGTCAACTTGTAAAAGTTTTTACAACATAAAAGTAGAAAGAATGAAAAAAAAATTAACAACAAACAAATCTTAAAATAAATAAATAAATAAAAATACTGTAAGGCTCATGGAGCTGTATGACTTTGTAGGCAGTATAAAAATAGTTGCTTTCTAGACTTAGCTACTGAATTAAAAGCAGCCTTCTTAGCAAAGGTCTCCTCATTGCTGCTCTCTTACACCTTAAAAGACGCATTCAGGATGCCATCTGCTGCCAACATGGTGGATCAAGGCTTGGGGATTTATGAGGAAACAGGGAAGTGGTTACAGGATAAACAATACAATAGAATAGCTAGGTCTGCATCCAGGAAAGATTACTGCACCTGTAAAAGACAAGTCAGGCTTGGGGGCAGAGACAGGAGTGATCAAGACTAAAAGTAGAGGGCTGGGGATGTATACCTGCTGGCAAGTGCAAGGTACTGAGTTTGAGTCTTTGTACCTCCACCCCCACCCCCAAAAAAGACTAAAGGCAGAGGAGGAATTTGTTTTCTGTGGCAGTCTAAGTAAGAGAGAATGGGGTGGGGAGTTAGCAGTCGGGCATGAAACAGATTTTAAATGTATTTATGAGGTAAACCAGAAAGGATCTGGTTACTGACAAAGAAGGAACATTGTTAAGACGTTACCCTAACTACTTGGGAGGCTAAGGTGGAAGGATTACTTGAGCCCAAAGTCCAAGGCCAGGCCAGCCAAAACAATGAGACTCTCCAACTTTTATATTTTTCATTTTATTTTTTTTAAATTGTATGTATTTGGTATAGGGTTTCACTACACAGCATAGAGTCATAATGATCCTGTTTTCAATCACCCCACTGCTGGGGTTACAGGCATGTACCACCATGCCCAGACTCCGTGGCCAGCTCAGTGCAGCTGGGGCGTGGGGGTGGGTGGGGGGATGGGTGGGGGTCTGTGCAGCATAAGGTACCAGGGATTGAACCCTGGTCCCTAGCTTGCCTAACAGGCACTTTGTCCGCTGAGCTATCCTGCTGGCCTGACACTCCAATTTTTAACAGGAATTGTAAGATTCCAGAGCAATGCGTGGAAACTCAGACTGAAGAATGAGTCTGAAGGAAATGAATTAGGCTTTGAGTAAGCCTTTGATAGGAGCATCCACTGTAGATGGTATCACTCAGAAGAGAAGTGAGACCCGGAAGCACAGATTTGAAATCTTCAGTACACAGGAAATACTTAAAGTCAGGAATATGTATAACAATCAGCAGTAGAAAAGAACAGAACAGAACTCTGATGAATTTAGTGTAACAACAATGCACAAAAATGAGTAAACTACAAAGAGATGTAACAGAATAAAATCAAGAAAGAAAAACAAAAGAAGCTAATTTTACTCAACCATCTTTTAAGTGTAACACACTGCTGACTGAAGGAAAGTTACACAACAGTAAATAACTATCCATTACATGGTGGGCACCATGGTAGATGCTTTACAAAGATAAACTCTTCTATCCTGCAGCAAGTCAGTGAGGAAGGCTCGAATCCATCACCCGTATGTGATGCCTAAGGAAATAGGCAGATAATATGACCTTCCAGGGCCATGTACCTGAGACTGTGAGCCAAGATTTGGATCTTGCTTGAGTCTGTCTGCAGCCATCACAATGTGCTCTCTCTCAACGCTAAGGCAGGATGCCTTGTACACAGAGCCAGTATGAAAGCTAAGAAAGAACGATGTTCCCACACCCAAAGAAAAAAGAATAAACATACTGAAGAAAAACTAAGACAGAGACAGAGTACATTGATTTCGAGAAGTGGCTGATCAGTTCCTCTCTCTGCTTTGTTTTTTTTTTTTTTGTGGAACCAGGGATTGAACTCAGGTCCTTCTACTTGCCAGGGAAGCACTTATTCTACTGAGCCATCTCCCTGGCCCCTTCCTCTCTCTGCTTTGACATGTACAGAATTTATCACATCTGACACACCCTGTGGTTTTAAGGTTAGGAAAGTTTACTAGAGAATAGCTCCTGAGAGACAGAAGGGGTTTCAAATGAATACCAATGAGCCCACCTCTCAAAGGAAACTTTATAGAGCAAAATCAGGTGGGTACAATGTGTCAAAATTATGATCAACCGATAAGATTGCAAGTATAATCGCCTAGGTAGTTACTGATCCAATGGTAGCAAGGGTAGATTAACATCATCATTATCCTTGGTCTATTGCCTTAATCTTAGTCCTAGACTTAGTAGGTGGTGAGGATGGCCCCCCCTAACCTAATGAGCTAATGGGAAATCACAAAAGGGTGACACCAATAATTCCAAGCATCCATTCATCCCTAGGGAAGTAGGTAAAACTAGTCATTGTGACTTCAATCTTCAGATGAATGCCTCTAGTCAGTGGATGATCAATTCTCATCTTCTGCACTGACTGCCTATTATTTTCTACTTAATTTAGCTATCTATAATATTCCCCACCTCTGAAGAGGTATCCCTAATTGCAGAAAGGGGAGAAGGGGTGCAGTTTGCATGAGCCACATGGAACTCAGAAAGGCAGTGTAGGGGAAACAGCAGTCAACGCCCTATGTCTTCTTGTTCATCTGCTTATCATCTGTTCAATTTCACTACAATACAGGCTACCGACAGGTACAGTACTTTATTCTACTCATTTTGTATCTCTAGCACTTACAATAGTACCTGCTGGCACCAAGTATTCAATAAATAATATAAAATGCTACAATCTGCAGTCAAATTTTTAAAAATAATTTTGGGGGAGTGGGCCTAAGGAGAGTCACATGGGGAGAAGACACTCTCTCAGGCTTTCACAGAGAGCACATTGGCCAAGCAATGGCCGTGACTCATCCACATGGCTGCACTGATAAAGGTTCTACAATCTGAGGTACAGGATCTCAGAACAAATCCTGAGGGCATTTCACTGACCTTCTCAGACCAAAAAGCTACAACTCTTGTTGCATAGGTCCTGCTTTACCTTGGTCTTAACCATCCAGTAGAAAAGTATGAAGACGAAATATAAGAAATAAAGCCATGCTGTTAAGTTGAGCTGTGGGGGACTCAGGTCAATAATTTCTGACATTGCCAGTTAAACAGAAGACCCAATGCTATTATGGGCTACTGGACTCTTTTAGAATATTTTGCTGAGTTTACACACCTATAATATTCAATAACGGAACTTAGAAAAAATGGGGTTTACAGATGAATGTCCATTTTGTATCTGTGTATTCAAAGTGGTTGGGATAGATATATAGTTGCATTCTCTTAATGAATAGAATGATTTGTTCTAATGGTGTTTGTAAATAGGATCACAAGTCCGCATCTTGTACAGCAATTAACCACTAAGAAGAATATATGCAGTGTATTATTTGTTGAAACTGTACTTCCGATTTGATTTGAAAAAAAAAAATTTGGAGGTATGAGGCTGTAGCTCAGTAGTAAGTCACTTAATACACGTGAGACCCTGGGCTCAACCTGCAGTATCTCCTCTCCTCAAATCTTAAGATCTGATCCACAGCTAATACCTGTCCCACATGTAAGTACTGCAACTCCCCATCAATACAGGGACAACACATGCAATCCACATTTCAGTGCATTTCAAGACTATCCAGGGGGACTGGGGAGATGGCTCAGTGGAATAAGCGCTTCCCCGGCAAGCACAAGGGCCCGAGTTCAATCCCCAGTTCCGCCAAAAAAAAAAAAAAAAAAAAAAAAAAAAAAAAAAAAAACCCACTACCCAGGGCTGCAAGTCGTTCCTAAAGTGACGAAGTGCACTTCACTACTGGCACAATGAGGGGAAGGGGGGGAAGGGTAGCAAGGGTAGCAGCAAAGCCCTTCCGAAGGCTGGTGCCAGATGGGCACGGCAGGTGGCTTTCCAGGTGTTCTCCCATATGACCCTGTCAGCCAGAGCACCATCCTCTTCACTTTAGAGAACCAGGGCGGTGACACAGTCTGGCAAGTGTAGGAAGGTGCCAGAGCGCTTCCTTTAACACTAATGTCATTTATCTTCATAAATTTGCTTATCTAGCCATTTTTCCAACATTCCCTCCAAAATTTATAAATTCACTTTAGAAATTTAAAAACAAACGTAATATCTTAGTCTACATAATCTAATGATTGCATAAATCCTTTATAGCTATAGACTGGTCTCTGGATTAACCCCAATAAATACGTACTGCTTGTGTAGATGACTTTTGCGAGGGTCATTTCCAGTATCGCGCCACGGCTCCCTTCACCAATCATGTGCAACTTTGAGATTAGAACAACAAAAAGAGCATACAGTGATTCTTCTTAGAATACCCACATAAACCATGAACAGAGCTCTATGGGATGAACATACGATCTTTGCTTTGTAACTCTTCAACGTTTGGGTTATAAAATCTACAGCAGTAAGAACTTATCTCCATGTTGCTACTTTAAATTAATGTATTCTGGGGGCAGTAATCTGGCACATCTGAAATTCACAGTACTTACAAACATAAAAATGCCTAAATATGTACATATTCACATTTTAAGATATACCCTACATACAATCAAATTTAAGATTACCAAGCATGGAATGTCTTCACCTGTTGTGCTTTTTTTTTTTTTTTTTTTGTATTTTAGGATTTTAGGGAAGGGTCTACAGGGTATTCAGGGTCTCACTAGATCAGACTCATATGATCCACCTGTTCACAGCATCCAAAGAGCTGGGATTACAGGTGTGCACCACCACGCCCAGTCTCAATTGCCAGTCTGCCTCAGGGATCGAACCCCTGGCCCCTGCACCTGCTTACAGATGCTTTAATCCACTGAGCTATTTGGCTGGCCCAATGCCTTCTATCTAGATGCCCCTGAAAAGCTCACATGCTGAAATATGGGGCTTCTGTAAGGTGACTGGCTCCCCTGCCTGCCTTGTCATGGACTGTTACCCCTCTGTGATGCCCCTCTGCCATGCCACCCTGCCTTGGAGCCAGCTGACTGTAGACTGAAATATCTATTAATTGTGAACCAAAATAAACCTCTCCTCCTTTAATTTTGGGTATGAGCATCTGAGAGAAGAAGAGCTGAAAGTTAAGAGGCTCTGACCATGACCCCAAAAGTAATGCCTGGGGTGACTTAACTAACCTTGAAATAATGTATATAGATATATATATACATAGATAGACATATAGACAGATATAGATATAGACAGATATAGATATAGATATCAGGAGGCAAATTATGATTGACAAAGGTCACACCTTAACTTGGTCTTGAACATCTGGCAACAAAAAGATATAGTCAGAGATACTGAGTAGTAACAATATAGTATAAGTAATAATAATACAAGCTAGACACACAGAGAGGGGCTACAATCACTGACTCTGCTGACAGCTTCAAGGGCCAGCTGGTTACAGAGCCAGCTGTATGACATGGCTCGTTCCCTAATCTGCCTTTTTATTCTATTGCTCATGGTTCGGTCATATATGCTTTAATCTCTTCTTGGTAAAGTTTGTTTGCTCTCTTTTAGAAACTGCTAAACTCCAAGCAGTCATACAGAGAAACTCACTGTGAAGGTGCTGAGGCCCATCAGTGGAACTTCCTGCCTGAGACTTCCATCGGCTGCCTCCCACCTAGGATCCCGTTCAGCTCAAAGAAGCAGACTGGTCATCCACATTTCCCTGACAGCAGTCTCAGAACAGGGTGTGTGTGTATATGAGTGAGTGAGTGAGTGAGTGAAAGTGAATGTGTGTGTGTGTGTGTGTGTGTGTGTGTGTGTGAGAGAGAGAGAGACATTAAAAGAGTGTGTGTGTGTGTGTGTGTGTGTGAGAGAGAGAGAGAGAGAGAGAGAGAGAGAGACAGACAGACAGACAGACAGACAGACATGTTGATAGGGAAAAGATAGGATAAAGCCTTGAACTTTGTTAGAAGTTAATGGAGAGACTTACTAAGGTCAGGGGCCTCTACAGGTTAGGCTCAAACAATTAAAAACATAAAGAGATAGACTGCAGCAATCAAAAAGCAAAGGCAAAAAAATTAAACTCAGGAAGGTCCCAAGTAGAATATAAGCCTCTTTTATTAATGCTTAAACCAAAACTACTTGTCCCTAAACAGCCCCTGCCCCATCCTAGCCTTCACCAAACAGGAAAGGTCACCCAACTGGAAGAAACCCCAGGGAAGTACCAAAGATAGCCACTGAGCCAATCAGATTCCAGGAGCCTACAGAGATTAGGAACACAATAAAAAGGAGCTGCAGACAAGAACCTTGAGCATTTCACTTTCCAACGTCCCCTACTTATCCAGGGTACCTATCTATCATCTCTCTCTCACACCCTTTTCTCCACCTTCAAATAAATCATCTTCTCTCACTAAAAAAAAAAAAAAAAAAAGCTAGTGCATGTCCAGAGTTTGATTCCTGGTACCAAGGGGGGAGGGGATGGGTAGGGGTGGGGAGAGGGGAGTTAAAACAAACGAACTGGGTGTTGGGCATTTTGTCCTTGCAATGAGAAACTAAATAAGACAGTTGCATTGTCTGTATTCTAAAACACATTACTTATTGTTAGCGGCACTGATCAGACCCACACGATCAGTTCTATAAATAGAGCATGTTAGGATAAAGTATAAAACTAGCAACTAACCTCATCTACGACAACCAGACCCAGACTACTGATTCTTCCGGTTTCAATCAAGGAGTTCACCAGGCTATGTGCTTTCTCAATTGTGGCAATGTACAGTGACTTCTTTTCCCTTCTTTTAGTTGGGGGAAATCTTCCTTTGCTTCCCGCGTATTCTTCAACAAAGAAACCGAGTTCTATACCAAAACTTGATAAACCTGAAATCTAAATTAGTTAAGATAAACAAAAACACAAATAAGAACGAACTCTATTAGTAGTCCCAGGGACTTTTCTAAAAGCTACATTAAGTGGGGTATGGTGGTGCATGCCTGTAATCCCAGCACTTGGGAGACAGAGGGAGGAGGCTTTTTTTCCAATTCGAGACCATCGTGGGCTACAAAGTGAGCTCAAGGTCAGCCTAAACTGCACAGTTAGACCTTTCTTTAAAAAAAAAAAAAAAAAAAAAAAGCTAAATTAGTGTTTAATACCAATTTATGGGAACCGATCATATACTACACATATAAGACATACCATAAAGGGCTGGCGAGATAGCTCAGCAGACTAAAGTGCCTGCCAGCTTAGGCAAGCACAGTGACCACAGTTTGATCCCCGGCATCACATGCTACACCAGCCCCGCCCCCAGGGTGGGCTGAGCCAGCTAGAGTCTGGGCATAGTGGTTTACGCCTGTAATCCCAGAGCTGGGGAGGCTGAAAAAGGAGGATCACCACGAGTCCGAGTTGTGTAGTGATACCTTGCAACAACTAAATACATTTAAAAAAACCCATAAAAATAAGGGGTTGATCTTTCCAAAGAAATGTAACTTTTAAACTGTTATAAATGTAGTTTAAAAATAGATTTCAGTTATTTCCTTTGTTATCAAAAAGCAGAACCTTTTTTTTCTTTTTTGGTACTAGGGATCAAACTCAGGCCCTTGTACTTCCCAGGCAGATGCTTATGCCACTGAGCTCTCTCTCAAGCCCTAGAATTCATTTATACTAATTAAAAAGTTCAATAGTCTCTGCCTTTTTACCCCACATTCCATTTAAGATGGAGGGCCATACACCAGGTCAAAAAACAATAAAGGTTCCTAAAATAGGTAACTATTATATGAAGCAATCTCAGGTGACTATGCTGCTTTTGCATCTTCTAAGTACATTAGTTCTCCATCACGAAGAAATTCTTGTTTTTTGGATACTAGGGATTGAACTCAGGATCCCGTGCTTGCTAGCAGGCGCTTATGCTGCTGAGCTATGCCCCCAGCCTGAGCTCTTCTTTATAGTCAATAGAAAGTTATTATTTACACTAAAATTTAGCTTTTAATGACATTACATTAACAGTTGTTTAAAAACAAACCTTTTCTTGAACAAGTGCCACATATGGAAGAATCATTAAAACATCTTTTCGCCGGCAAAGTAATTCCTGTAGCATTAAGATCTCAGCTACAAGGGTTTTCCCACCACTTGTTGGCAAGGAATAAATTAAATTTTTTCGTTCTTGCACACAACTCAGTGTTAAGCAGGTATGTTGCCATTCTGCAGAATTTAAGGGGGGGGGAACTCAGTGTTAAGTACTGTCCATTGTAGAATTTAAGAAAAAAAAAGGCATTAGTTTTCTCTTCTATATTCCCGATCTCAAGAAAGTTTGCCATGAAGGAAAAATAAAACCCTTCTGTCGCAATCATCTCATAAGGGTAAATGCACTTATCATCAATGTTAGATGTCAACTATCCCACATGCACATGGCCAGTGAGCTGAGCTCAGATCTGGCCAGTGGACAGTGATCAAGTCACCACTGGCTGCAGATTCAGAAGGCTCTAGTCGGACGGGAAGAGCCCTGGGGAACAAGGGGTATCTAAGGACACCACAGGAGCAAAAGAACACCGAAGGACCTGGGTGAATAAGGCCTTCTTATATCCTGCAAGGCTGTACACGCTTATCTTCCTCATCAATCCAAAAGCCATCTTAGAAACAGAAGGGGAAGGAAGAAAGCAAGGGAGGGAGGGGGGGAGGTGCTTGGCTATAGTGACACACACCTGTAATCCCAGCACTTAGGAGAGTGAAGCAGGAGGAGCACAACTATATAGTGAGGTCCTGTCTCAAATAATAATAATAATAATAATAATAATTATAATAACAACAACAACAACAACAATAGGGGAAAGTGCATGAGGTTTTTGCACAAACCAGTAACAATTCAACTCTCTTGGGGATCTGAACTTTGAGTGGTTCAAATACAATTTTATATTGCTAAAATTGTTTAAACCATAAAACACTAGAATTACTGGATCTGCCTGCACATCTTGGCTTCATTCACACTATTTAGCAAGGTGGGACTAATGAACAGATCAGATCCAAGACACTGTGTAAACGCTAGTAGAATAATCTACTGCCTGCTTTGTAGAATAATTTAACAGTGTATACAACCATAAAGTCTTCAAAAATGTGTATTAGTATTTCACTTTTAGAAAAACAGGCAAACTGGGTGTGGTGGTATACATCTGTAATCTAGCACTTATTAGTCTGAGGCAGAAAGATGGCTGAGTTTGAGGTCAGCCTCCACTATATAGTGAGACCCTGTCTCAAAATAATCCCCCATAAAACACCCCAAACCAAAAAAACCCCTTAAATTTAGTATGCAGTACTTACACGCTATTTGAGACTATCCTTTATCTTTACACAGAAAATAATGATATCAGCTTAGCTCTCAACACTTAAATAAAACACATTAAGCACACAGCTCCATGATAAAAAGGCAAAGCAGAAGTGTAAGGTAAGGAGGAGGTTCACATCAGAATGCTGTCAAGACAGTTGCAATACAGGCTGGCAAGTGCACCCAGGGGCTCTGAGGCTGCAGCTGGGCTGAGAACAGCCTCCAGGTGATGCCCATGTTGCAGGTTAGAAACCTGCACTTTGAGAATCATTGCTTTAGTGTAGTAAACATTAGCATGTGCACCTAAGCCTGTCTGCCATTACCATATGTATATGCAAGAGAACTAAAGCAAGGTGTGGTGGTACACATCTGTAAACCTAGCACTCAGAGGCTGACACAGGAGGACTGCGTTGAGTTCAAGGCCAGCCTGGGCTACATAGCAAGACCCTGTCATGGGCTAGGAGACAGCTCAGTAGAATAAGTGCTTCCCTAGCAAGCACAAGGGCCTGAGTTTAATCCCAGGTCCTGCAAAAATAAATAAATAAATAAATAAATAAATAAATAAATAAATAGAAAAAAAGAAAAGACCCTGTTGCACAAATGGGGTGGGAGGTGCTGTGGCTATAGCTCAGTGTTGGGCACTGGGTTCAATCCCTACCACCAGAAACAAAGCTATTAAATTCTTAGAAGCTACCAGTGTAATTCTGACAGCCATTATGGTATCTAACTTTACATGTTTTGTGACGAAGAATGTAACTTGCACAAGTATTGTCCCATTCTATAGATGGGAAGTGAAGTTTAACATTCATAAGATGACCAGCAATCTCCAGCAGCTGGGAGTCTATTAGGGCTCGCCACATACAAAGCTAGTTACATAAGAAAAAGACAAATACTAGAGGAGTCTTGTTTCAAGGAATTCATTCTGGCAGGAGATGCAAATGAGAGAGTAAAGTGGTAAGAGAAAAGCAGAGGGAGAGAGGTAGTAGCTACTTCATGCTCAACATGGCCCATTAGTTCTTAAACCATGAAACTCACAATTTAGAATTTGTTATGGGGATGGGGAGATGGCTCAGTGCAAGGGCCTCAGTTCAATCCCTGGTTCCAAAAAAAAAATCATTAGATTCCCATAGTCTGGGATTAGACTACTTCCTGAGTCCTACTTCCTCCTGCTTGTATTCTCCCCGAGATAAGAACCCACACTTTTAAATATGATTGATGTAAGGTCTTTAAGATTCCAACAGGCTGAGCATGATGGTACACACCTGTAATTCCAGCACTTGGGAGGCTGACGCAGGAGGATCATTTCAAGTTTGAGACCCGCCTGGGCTACAAAGTACACTTAAGGCCAGCCTGAACTGCATAGGGATTTGCTATCTCAAAAAGATATAAGGTGCGGGCCTGGCCCTAGCTCAGTTCTTTAAGTGGCTGCTTCCACAAAGCTGTCAGCCTCAGGTTGCTGTAGTTCATCCCAACACTCCAGCCAGCCAAACCAGCCCTTAGGGCATTCAGAGCAAACAAAACAAAACAAAACAAAACAAAACAAAACAAACAACAACACCTTATTGGGCCGGGGAGATGTCTCAGTGGAATAAGTGCTTCCCTGGCAAGTGCAAGGACCTGAGTTCAATCCCCGGTTCCGGAAAAAAAAAAGATATAAGGAAAATAAAAAGATTCCAACAGGAGTTCAGAAATAATTATAAAGGGACAGGCTGCTGGGCTCATCTCCCAGTATGGGGACAACTGTCCCTTCTTTGTAAAAAAATGATACAACTGAAAATATATGAAAAGACTCAATATTTAAAAAAAAAAACCCATTGTGAGACACAGTTATTATTACAGTACTTAAATCTGAACTGGAGCTATCTTTAAAGATGCTTATTTGCCAGCCATGGTGACATACACCTATAATCCCAGCTTTAAGGAGGCCAAGGCAAGAGAAGGCCTGTGAGTTTGAGGCCAGGTCAGTATGAACTACATAATGAGACACTGTCTCAAACCAAAAATAAATAAATTAACAAATAAATTAAAGATGCTTACTTTTTTGGGGGGCGGGGGTACTGGGAATGGACTCAGGACCTCAAGCTTGTCAGGCAGGTGTGCTGCTGAGCTATACTCCTAGCCCCAAGGTACTTACTTTTCTTTTTTTTTTTCAGAACCGGGGATTGAACTCAGGCCCTTGCGCTTGCCAGGGAAGGGTTTATTCCACTGAGCCATCTCCTCGGCCCCCCCAAGGTACTTACTTTTAATCAATGATATTACTTTTGACATCTGAATGTTCAAAAGAATTTCAACAAGTAAATTTTGTTAGATTAAACAGAGCTAGCCAATAACAACTGAGAAAACTGTAAAGCAGCTAAAAAAAAAAAAAAAAATCAAAGGAAAAAAATTCAGAAGGACTGGGGAGATAGTTTAGTGATCTAAGTGTCTGATTGGCAAGTGCAATGACCCAAGTTCAATCCCCAGTACTGCATGCCATACCAGCCCTGCTGGAGAGGCTGAGACATGAGACCCTCCATCAAATAAACAAATAAATAAAAATTAAAAAAATTCAGGAGCAACATGTCAAGAAAGGAGAATTGCAAGAAAGGAGAATTGCAAGAAAGGTCTGGTCAGCAGGAGGTAAGCCACTGGGAAGGCAGACAAGGCAACTCAACAAGGGTCAGCAGAAGTGGGAGGAAGAACTACTGGAGGCAAGAAATGAGACAATGAAGCAACTGCTTTGAGAAGAGGTTCAACAGTGGCAGGACAGGAATGGAAGATTGAGAGACAATGGACATTTTCATTTTTCAAGTTGAGACCATGACAGCATTTGCTTCTATTATTTGTGCTAATATGATAAGGATGGAAAATTTTGACTTTATTCCAGCCAAAACCATTACCATATAACTTTTCAATTCCTTTGAACTGAACATAAAGGTCTCTCACTTTGCTGGGTAATGAATAGAAGGGACCAAGGTCACTGGATGATGACTCAATTGTCTCCTTAGCAACATTCATCTCTTCAGAAAGGAGTGCCTCTTTGAGCTGTTTATTCCTAGAAAATACTGGTATTTGGGCCTTAGCATTTCCAGTCATGGCGCTTTTTAGAAAATCCTTAATACTTTTTCTCCTATTTGTGTCTGAACTAGTTTGGACTTTAGAAGACATTTCATCATTTGGCTGGTGTTGCAATTCTTCATTCCCAGTCTTGTGAGAGGATGAGCTCCTGTCCCTTTCTTGTGTGGACTGGTGGTGCAAATCATCTGAAGAGCTCTGCAGGTCGTCAAAACATAAAACTTGGGAAGATGGTACATCATACAAAGGATCATCTCCAGGTTCAGCAGCGGCATCTTCACCCCCAGTCTGGTTCTCTGTCTGCTCATTGGTTTTGCATTCAGTAAAGTCACTTACATGAGTAACACTGAGTTCGTTTTTGATGCTCTCTGAGTGAAGATCTTCACTGGCCAAGTCTGTAGCATGTTTTCCCTGTTCAGGAAGTTGCATATATCTCTGTTCCAGGTCCTCAACTTGAGCCAAAATGGAATTTTCACTAAAGCTATCATAGTCACCAAACATGTCCTCTTCACTGTCATAATGCTGGAAAGAAAACAAAAATATTTATGAGCAAGTTGAGTTTCACTAAGAATAAAAGCTCCAAAGACTGGGAATGTAGATCAGTGGACAGCACTTGAGGCCCCAGGTTATATCCCCAGTAAGATTTTTAAAAATAAGTAATAATAGTTTCAGTTTAGGGCTGTCAGATGCAAGCTAACCTATGAATAACATTATCAGCATTGTTTTACAAATGAAAACAATGGAAGCCCAGAGAAGTGGAGTAACTTTCCTAACACTGCTCTGGCAGTTTGATAAAGATTCTTTTCCCTTCTGCAGCCAGCAATGAACTCAAGGCCCAGCACAGACTACCACTGAGCCACCCCCCAGCTACTTTCTTTTTTGAACCCATGTTAACACCGTAAATGTCAGCCCCTAGGGGCCGGGGAGATAGCTCAGTAGAATAAGCACTTGCCTAGCAAGCACAATGGTCTGAATTCAATCCTCCATTCTGCCAAAAACAAAAACAAACAACAAAAAAGTCAGTCCTCTACAATCTTCTGTAATTGCAACATTCTCCAAACAGGTTCTCAGGACACTAAAAATAGGAATTCCTTTTGACACAGCTATTCTTCTAGGTCTCCTCTCAAGAGTTAAAGACATCACATCACAGGATTACCACCCACACTTATAGCAGCACAATTTATCACAGATAAATCTTGTAAGTAGCCTAAATGCCCATTAACAGATAAATGAATATAGAAAATGTGATGTTTATACACAATGGACTACTACTCTGCCATAAACTTGAGGCATTTATAGGTAAATGGATGCAACAAGGAGCCATAACAATTAAGCGAAATAAATCAGCCTAGCTGAAATATCTCACGGTTTCTCTCATATGAGAAACGTAAAAATATTTATGGAAGATGAACATGGCGCACACCTGCAATCCCAGAACTTGGTGGGCTGAGGAGGATCCTCCTGAGTTTGATGCCAGCTTGGGCTACATAGCTCAAAGCCAGCCTGAACATAGCAAGATCGTCTCAAAAAAAAAAGTGTATGCAGTGTACACACACACACACACACACACACACACACAGAGAGAGAGAGAGAGAGAGAGAGAGAGAGAGAGAGAGAGAGAGAGAGAGAAATAGAAGATAAATAGATAGCAGGGAGCTCTTCAAATGGGAGAACAAGAGCTGGAGGAAAGAGAACGGGATGAACAACAACAACAAAACAGAATGAAAGGAGAAAGAATAATGAAAACAAAGTTTTTGCAAATGGAAATGGGACCAAGTGTTGGAAGGTGCAGGATAGAGTCAAGCGTGTACTGATAAAAATAAGACTGGCCTGTGACAAAATTCTGTCGCACTAACGGATATCACAAGGAAGCTGTTCTGAATCTGGAATTGAGGTAGAGCGTGCACCCCGACTTGCGGCGCGCTACTAGACTGAGGAGCCCAAAGCTTAGGGCAGCAGCACAGTGCAGCGGCTGAGAACGCAGAACTCGCAGTCCGCACTCCGCCTGCACAGCGCCTGATCACTGCTGTGAAACCCAGACGTTGCAACTGGTCTCACACAGTGACCAGTGTGCGATGCGTGTTCAGCCAATGTATTTCAAAGCGGAGCTCAGTAACGTCTGCGGCCGGGTTAGAATCCGCGCTGTCACTAGGTGCTGGTCCACGCCTCCCATCCGAGGCCCGGCGGTGCCTCATCAGTGCCCACCGACAGCAGCCAGAGGCGTGCAGAAACAGGCAGAGCAAGCCAACCGCTGGACTGCTGCCACCTGGAAGGAGGCCGCCAACCCCCGCGGCTCCGCGCCCCCCGCACCTGGTCTCCAGCCCCGGGTTGCTGCGAGGTCGGAATGACCGGGGTCTGCCCAGGTGAACGGGATGGCCGAGAGCTGCCTGCCGGGTGTACCTCGGCCGGCTGCGCCTCCGCGGGCTGCGCCTCCGCGGGCTGCGCGGTCTTTCTCCGCCGGGCCCCGGCGCCCTCTTCCTCCTCCTCCTCGGCCTCCCCGGGCGCGCGCTCGGCCTCGGCAGGGGCGGCGCACGCGCTGGCCGAGCCGGGCCGGGTCCTCTTGTGGACGGATACCCGCCGGCGGATGCGGGACGCGCCTTCCTCCATGGCGCGTTCTGAGGTCCCGCCCGATGGCGTTCCGGGAGATCCAGCCGCCAAACTCACGGGCTGCGGAGCATGACTGGGGGTGCGGCGGCAGCGAAGGGAAAAAACTGTGCCCACATCTCCATCCACCTCAAATTTATTCTCTGGAGTCCCGAACCGGAAGCAGGGCTGCTAGCACAGGTGCATTCCGTCACATCTTGTCCCCAACACCCGACACCTGGAGCGCGCCCCCCCCCCCCGGAAAGGGGCTGCGCACGCGCATCGGAAACCCGCGCGCTCTCTAGCCGGTCGCCGGCGTCCGCCACCGGAACCTTTGAGTGGAGCGCGAGGGCGCGCGGGGGAGTGTACCGGAAGGGACCCGCCGGAGGCTTTAGAGAGAGGAAAGGAAGAAGAGGGACGGAAACCATGGCTGCGCTAGTCGCCGTTTACCGTGTTCTAGGGAGGAAGAAGTTGACACACGGGATTACGGCTGCTGTCTGCCTCCCAGATCCCGGAACTCGCACGGGTAAAGTGTGCGTGGTGGACTGCAGCCGTTGCCTTGCCCTACTAGTCAGTCACTTTTAGCGAAACGATGCCGGTTTCGAGGCGATTCAGTTTCTCCACGAAGATGGGAACGTGTAATGAAAGGGAGGTGAATTTTAAACACTGAAAGAGGCGAATGGAATGGCTTTTTAAAAGACAAGGATTTCCAAAACTTGGCAAGCCAGGGACATTTCCAGTCACTCAGCAAATTACGTATTTCTAAGGTCCTGGATCCGAGCGAAATTGTGATGCAGACCCTCATCTCTGTAATTCCGGCAATTATCTGTGCGTCTTCATCAGTAACTGCTGGCTGGAGATAGTGTATTACTCATTTTCCCTTTGGTGAAACAATGACTACGGGTTGTTTCACTGCCTGTTTGCATTAAAATCTGTCTTGGTGAATGTGTTGGTGGGATGTGTTGGTGTATGCCTGTAATCCCAGGCTGTTAGAGAGAAACATGAGTTCAGAACCATACTGGTCAGTTTAGCTAGGCTATCTCTGCATATAAAAGGGTGGGGATATAGCTTAGTGTGGCTGTTACCCTGTCTCAACCCTTGTTTTCAGTATCCAGCTAAACAAAATCAGACCACCTGTTTCTAACTATGGAATGAAGGGAAAGTAAATGTCAGGAGGAGAGCAGGTGAGAAGTTTGATGCACAGGAAACTATATGCCATTGAGAATTAGCTAGTCTTACTCCATCCCAACTCTAAACCTCATTAACCAGTTATTGTAAGTGTAAAGAATAAAAAACTTGTAATATCTCTTGATTCATCTTGTCTCCATAAATACAAGAATCTTCAGTAGCTACTCTAACAAACAATTGTTTTTTGCTCTGTTTAACCGCAGTGCTATGGAGAAGAAGTTGTTCACAGTATAAACAGGTAACCAGCAATGAAAACCTGGTAAGAATTTTCTTTTTTACGGTATGACCAAGTTCTTGTATTTCAGCTATTTGATCTTCTCCTGTAAGATGAAAGTTATTATTCTGAGTTGAAAATTACCATTTACTGATTATAGCTTGGGCTGCATATTGAGTTCAAGACCAGCCTGAACTACACAGTGAGGTCTTGTCTCAAAAAATCAAATCTATAGTATTAAGTGATTATACTGATCTAGAAATGCTGTATGTTGAGTAATGCACCATAAGCTTTTCTTAATTTAAGATTAAATGAATTTTTATTTTTTTTTATTTTTTTTAATTTTTTTTAAGGTGAGATAGAGTGTGACAGGATGCAGTTCAGGCTGCCTTTGAACAGTGTAGCCCAGGCTGGCCTTGAACTCACGGCTATTCTCCTGCCTCAGCCTCCCAAATGCTGGGGTTATAGCTGTGCACCTCCATGCCCAGCTATATTAACTTTAAATGAATTTTAAAAATTGTAGCCATCTACAGTCTGAGATGAGCAAGGCATTTGAACCGAAAATTAAAATTTGAATTTTTTTCTCCATTAACCTTTAAAGGTTAATACTCCTTAAGCAAACTAACAAAAAATAAAGTGCTTGTTTAAAAGGTGTACACAGTGAGGAAGGTACTGTGTGCTTTGGGGTGAATTGTAATGGAATAACCCTATGATTTAATGTTTAAAAATTGAAATTAATATAATCAAACTTTTCTTCATCTTAGCCTGTTGCAATGGAAAACCCGTATAAGGAACCTCTTAAGAAGTGTATCTTGTGTGGGAAACATGTGGATTATAAGAATGTACAGGTGAGAACTGGTTCTACTCCTTTCTGGTACTTGGGTTTAGGATTAGGCTCCTTGGTTAGTCTTGCTAGATGAGAGTCATTAACTGAGGGTAGTGGTGATGCCTGTGATTTCAGCACTGGGAGGCAGAGGCGTGCGGATCACTGCAGAGTCGCTGCATAGTGAGTGTGAGGCCAGTCTGGACTGCATAGTGAGACCCTGTCTCAAAAATATAATAATAGGGGCTGGTGAGATGGCTCAGTGGTCTAAAGCACCCACTTAAAACAAGCTTAGCGAAGCCCGAAGCCCAGGGACCAGGGTTCAATCCCCCAGCACCACATGCCAGCCAGCCCGCCCCCTGGTGGGCTGAGCTGGCCACACACACACACACACACACACACACACACATAAATAAATAAATAAAATTTAAAAAAATAATAATAATAACAACATAATACAGGTTGTATATCGAGCTTCATGTGTAGGCAACTTTTTGCAATTTCATGCTTTTGCATCTGGTTCTACGTCTGTGTGTAAGGTGTCCTTGTTCCATCAAAAGCCCTTGGCTTGCCCACACTTACTGCTGTCTCAGCTCAGTCTTTCCTCTGTTATTCACCCTGAAAGCCTTCACAGTGGTTCACCTTGCCCATGATTCTCAGGTGATAAGATGGCAATGTGGAAACAGCTCCTGCGGGCGAGCTCACCATGTACCTCACCATCCCAGTTACTGCTTCAAATACCCTTTCTCTCATCTGGCTGTCAGCAAATTGAAGTAGCAAATTTTGTGAAGTGAAGAGTACTGGTATTAAGTATACTGAGACAAGCATAAAGTACTCATCTGTTGAGGGAGAAAAACCTAGAATTTATAAGAACGAGCCAGATGTTGTGGTGCGTGCCTATAATCCCAGCTGTTGGGAGGCTGAGGCAGAATTGTGAGTTCAAGACCAGCTTGGGCTACAAAGTGAACTCAAGACCAGTCTGAACTGTATAGCAAGACCCTGTCTCAAGAAGACAGGAAAAGAAGAAAAAAAATTATAAAAATACAACACAGGACTAGGGAATTAGCTCAGTGACACAGGGCCTGCCTGACAAGTGTGAGATCCTGAGTTCTTGGTACAAAAAACCCCCACAACATAGTTGGAAGGTCATGCAAAGTGCCAAGAACAGTGCCTAGAGTCTAGAAAGTGCTAAAGCATTTAGTAAACATTGTAAGGGCCAGCCAGATAGCTCAGCAGCCTAAAGCACAAGCCAGATATCTCAGCAGACTAGAGCGCAGCAGCCAGGGTTTGATCACCAGAGTGCCGTGCTGGCCCCTCTCCTGGGGCACACTGAGACAGCCATTGAGACTGGGTGTGATGGTATGTGCCTGTAATCCTAGCACTTGGAAGGCTGAAAACAGGAGAATCACTATAAGTCCGATCTATGTAGTGAGACCATGTAGACCTTGTACTAAATACATTTAAAAAAAAAATTGTAGTAAATGTCCCAGTACTCATATGGGTATGTCTTGTACACTTCAGTATACTCTGGTAACTTAGCCTCGTAATTATATCATGGGAAAGGAAATGTTTTAGTACCTTGTTATGAACAGCAGTATTTTAGAAAATATCTGTGGAAAAGTCAAGAAAGCAATTTTAGGGCTGGGAAAATAGCTCAGGGGCCTAAGTGTCTGCCTCATAAGCACAAGGTCCTGAGTTCGATCCTCAGTACCACAAAAATATATTTTTTTTTAAAAAAACAACTTCATTTTATTTATTTTTCTGCGGAACTGGGGATTGAACTCAGGCCCTTGCACTTGCCAGGGAAGCGCGTATTCCACTGAGCCACCTCCCCAGCCCCAAAATTTAGGTTGGAGAATGACATGTAAAGACTTTATTTCGCCTTAATTTTTTTTTTTTTTTCCCCAGAACCGGGGATTGAACTCATGCCCTTGCGTTTGCCAGGCAAGCGCTTATTCTACTGAGCCATTTCCCCGGCCCCTTAAAAACAACTTTAGCACAAAGTGATTATGCTGGGCTAGGGAGATAGCTCAGTAGAAGAAGCACTTCCCTGGCAAGCACAAGGGCCTGAGTTCAATCCCCAGTTCCACCAAAAAACCAGTGATTATGCTAATTAATGTTACAGACTTTTTTGATACATTGTGTAGATGATGACTTTTGTTACTAGTTATTTAAAAAATGACTTGTAAAGGATATTTTATCTCATTAAATTTGTCTGAAACTGTCTTAAATATTTACATAACTTGAAGGTCAAGTGTAAGGTTTTCTTTTCTATTCAGGACTGAATAACATGTATTAATACATTTTTTTCCTCCAAACAGCTTTTGTCTCAGTTTATTTCTCCATATACTGGCTGCATTCATGGGAGGCATATAACAGGTATTTTTAAAATCATAGCTATTTAAATGTAGGTAAGGGGGCCGGGGAGATGGCTCAGTGGAATAAGCGCTTCCCTGGCAAACGCAAGGGCCTGAGTTCAATCCCCGGTTCCGCCAAAAACAAAAAAAATTAAATGTAGGTAAGAATTGTATTAATCTATTTTGACATTTAAGGAAAATGGCAGATGTTCAGATTGTGCTATAAATCGCTTTTAGATGTTGCTATGAGGAGTATAGCTAAGTACTTAGAGAAAGCATCTTAGGCCTAAAGGATTGCAATCTTGTAATGTTTCTTCTGCTTGGAGTTAAGTAAAGGTTGACAATGTACAGAAAACATGGGCTTAAGAAAATGGTGTTATTGCTGGTCATGGTGGCACATGCCTGAATGCCAGCATTTAGGAGGAGGCTGAAGCAGGTGGATCAGTGACTTCAGGATCAGCCTGGGCTACATAGTGAGTTCAAGGCCAGCCTGACTGCAGAGTGAGACCCTATATTAAAACAAAACAAAACAAAAAAAAAATGGTGTTCTTGATATTGTCAAATATATTATAATCATTCCTGGATGACTTTGATTTGGTGTTGCCAAACTGTGCCCTATACATAGTCCAGATCCAACCTGCCACTTGTTTTTGTAGATTTGTTTACATAGTGCCACATGATTTTGAGGTAAAGTAGCAGATTCAGGTAGCTCTAATGGAGCTTATATTGCCCGTGTAAACCAAAATGATGGCTTGGGGATATAGCTCAGCAGTACAGTGCCTGCCTGGTGAACAGTCATGAGTTTGATTCCTAGTACCAAAAAAAAAAAAAGAAAAAGTATCATTTTTGTCCTTTACAGAAAAGACCTTAACAACCTTTGACTTTACAAATTCTTACAAGTTTTAAATACTGAGATTTTTTTAATAAAGCATTTAAAAATTTTTTTGTAGGTCTTTGTGGGAAGAAACAGAAAGAAGTTTCAAAAGCTATTAAGAGAGCTCAAATAATGGGTAAGTGTACCTTGAATCACTGATTTGGACTAGTCAGTATTTGCTCATTATCTGTTATGAAGAACTTTAATTATCTCTTTACAGGGTTTATGCCAGTTATGTACAAGGATCCTGCGTATCTCAGAGACCCTAAAGTTTGCAACATCAGATATCGGGAGTAAATTTCATAAAGTTATTACCAGTAAACTCACTTCATAGTAAGTGGTTGTATGCCATTATTGAATCATACTAACCTTTAGGTAGAAAAGTGTTTGAAGATTGAAGCTTCCCCCCACACACACCATTGAATGTTTACTGAGTAGATTGTGTACTTGAAATGCTGATACTTGTTACATTGTATATGCCTTGAATAAAAGTGACCCTGTATGATTGTCACCTAGCTCATTCCCAGTTCATTCCTGTAGTACTGGAATAGGAAATATGGGAGGGATGACTTGCTGAAGAATTCTGTGTTAGGCCCAGACTCTGTCTTAAAAATGTGATGCTTTTAGGGAAATGAGTGTAAGAGTGTGTAATGCTTATGTTTTAATCCCATGTGATTGTGGAGTTAGGGCTGTTTTTAGTGTGGAAAGGCCATTTTTCTCTGCAGTCTCAGTATTTGTTATTTATAATGGTGGCTATTCTCTCTAGGGTAAGATGGGACAAGTATACCTGGCTAAGAGAGAAGATCTGGTCTTAGCACAGATGTGCACTGTATGGACCCCAGGCCTATCTGAGGATAAACCATTCCTGGATGAGTTATTCCTCTTAAACAATTTATTTATTTATTTTTTAAATGTACTTAGTACAGGGTCTCACTACACAGATCGGACTTGTAGTGATCCTCGTTTTCAGGGAGGAGCTGGGATTATAGGTCCTGCGCCCCCCCCTGGGGGGGCGGTACAGGGCTGGCATGGCACACCAGGGATCGAACCCTGGCCCTGCATTTCCCTAAGCAATTTTTTAAAATTGTTATGAGTCCATGTTTGTGGCACACAGTAATCACATTCATTCAGTGTGCGGAGCTGGTGCATGGATGACACATCTCAGTCCTTTTTTTGTCTCTTTCCCTCTGTTCCCCTCCCTCAGTCTCTTGGTCCTCTCAACCTCTGTGTTTGCTGTTTTCTATTTCTTATATCACCCTTTAATTTATTTGTACTTTGGGTTTCGCATGTAAGATAAACAATGTCATACTGAAGCATACTATCCGATTTATTTTACTGAAACTTACGGTCTCAAGGTATATTCATTTTCCTACAAATGACTCATTTAGTCTTCTTAGTGGCAGAGTAGTGTTCCACTGTGTGTAAATACCACATTTTCTTTATCCATTCATCTGTTGATGGACATGTATACTACTTACAAGATTGTGCTATTAAGAATTGTACTGCTCTAAAGCTGGGTATGGTGGCACACACCTATAATCCCAGCACACAGGTAGCTGAGGCAGGACAATTGCTATGAGTTTGAGGCCAGCCTGGGCTACATAGTGCAAGGCCAGCATGAACTGCATAGTGATAACTTGTCTCAAAAAATCAAGAGGCCGAGGAGATGGCTCAGTAGAATAAGTGCTTCCCTGGCAAGCACAAGGGCCTGAGTTTAATCCCTGGTTCCACCAAAAAAATCAGAAGAATGAAAAACTTGTGCTGCTATAAACATGGATATTCATGTATCACTGTAATGTAATGTCTACTCTTTCAGGAAGATACCTAGGAGGAAAACAGCTAGGTCAAATGGATTTTTTGTTTTAGTGCTTGGTTGCAACAGGGTCTCACTCTGAGTTCAGGCTGGCCTTGAGTTCACTTTATAGCCCAGGTTGGCTTTGAACTCACTGAGATTCTCCTGCCTCAGCCTCCCAAGTGCTGAGATAGATTACAAGTGTGTGCCACCATGCCTGGCTCGTCAGTTTTTTGCAGAATCTCCATGCAGATTTCCCTAGTGGTTGTAATAGTTTACATTCCCACCAGCAGTGTGGAAGGGCTATTTTTCTCTGCAGTCTCTCAGTATTTGTTATTTATAATGATGGCTATTCTACCTAGAATAGGATGGGATCTGTTGTTTTGATTTGCATTGCTATCATGTCCAGACATCAAATACAATGTTTCTGAGTTTGTCTGTCTGTCTCTCCCTGTGTATTTTTTTGAGATGCTTTTGCTATGCAGTTCAGTGTGTCCTTGAACTTGTATGATCCTCCTGCCTCAGCCTCCCAAGTGTTGGGATTGCAGGTGTGTACCATCACACCTGGCTTTTGAGTTCTTTATGTATTTTAGATATTAGTCTTCTGTTCAAAGAGTACCTGGCAAAATGTTTTCCTACTGTGAGTTGTCTCTTCACTCTATTGGTTGTTTCCTTTGCTGTGCAAAAATGTGCTAATACATGAACTCAATGCTCTATGTCTAACCCTCCCTTTTTCTGTACTTTCTCTTACGGCAGTTGCCCGTCCAGGCACTGGTAGGGTGACACCAGACACCCTAAAGAACAGTGGGTAGTTTCATAGCTGTTCAGTGCCTCAGTCTTCAGCAGCTAACCCCCTCCTGCAGTGGCTTGTGATGAAAGCTACTCAAAGCAGTGACTGCACTGAATTTCTTCCCCAACTTTAGTTGCATTCTGTACTTAGGTGGCTTTACAAGTTTCTGACAATTGTTCACTTTAAAGAGAGCAAAACTGAGTGTTGTCATGGTGATGTAATGAGAGGATTTACACGAGAATGCCACAGTCAGTGAACTTTACACAGAAACATTCCTGGCCCTAAACTAAGTAATTGCAAAATTAACGTACAGTTTTGCCTTTTTTTTTTTTTAAAAGACAAGGTCTTATGTAGTTCAGGCTTCAACTTGTGATTGTCCTGCCTTAGCCTCCTAAGGCAGGGGTTATAGGCATGCACCTGAAATTCAAATTTAATTGGGCATCCTGGGTTCCACTTACTAGATCCAGCAACCCTAATTGCACACAGCCATGCAGCAGCACAAACAAAACCCTAGAGTCCTCTGCACAAAATTGAGTCCAGAGTTATAGGCATGCACCTCCAGGCCCAACCAGTTTTTTTTGTTTTAATATATTTGGTACAGGATCTTGCTACACAGCTTGGACTCAGTAGTAGTGATCCTATTTTCAGCCTCCCCAGTGCTGGGATTACAGGCATGCGCCACCATGCCCTGTCTCCTCACCAATTTATACATATATATATTTTTGTGGAACCAGGGATTGAACTCAAGCCCCTGTGCCTGCCAGGCAAGCGCTTATTCTACTGAGCTATCTTCCCAGCCTTCCTAACCAGTTTAAATTAAAGGCTACCTAGTGAGTTGAAGACCAGCCTGAACTACATAGTTAGACACTATCTCAAAAACCAAACTTGAGGGCTGGCCAGATAGCTCAGCAGACTAAAGTGCCTGCTTAGGCAGAGCGCAGCGGCCGGGTTCAATCCACAGGGCGCTGTGCCAGCCCTGCCCCTGGGACACGCTGAGATGGCGATTGAGACTGGACAAATGAGACTTCAGCTCTAGGGAGAGGCTGAACACAGGAGAATCAATACGAGTCTGATCTACGTAGTGAGACCCTGTACTAAATACAAATAAATGAAGCTTGTAATCATCCTTCCCCCATGTGTGTCTATATATGTATATATGTATACAAATTTACACAGACATAATTTGTGATTTCTACTTCAGTTACTTGACCAGCTTCCAGTCCCAAACACTGGATGACCAGGTCTTTACTGTATACAAAACTCGGGACTCAGTTTTGTGCAGAGGACTCTCGGGTGTTGTTTGTGCTGCTGCATGGCTGTGTGCAATTAAGGTTGCTGGATCTAGCGAGTGGAACCCAGGATGCCCAGTTAAATTCAAACTTCAGATCATTTTTTCAATGTAAAAATGTCCCAGAGGGTTGGCCAGATAGCTCAGCAGACTAAAACGGCTGCTTGGACGCAGGGACCAGAGTTCAATACCCAGCATGCTATGCTGGTCCTGCCCCCGGGGGCACCATGAGTCCAATCTTGTGTAGTGAGACCCTGTATTAAATACATTTAAAAAAAAAAAAAAAATGTCCCAAATGTTGGATGTTATTCAGCCCAGCCCAAGATACTTTAACTTTAACTGGCATCCCTAGCCATAACATGGTTTTGAGGATATTTTTCTTTTTTTTGGCTGGCTCAGGCTGCCTTAGGATGGGTCTGGTAAGGCATGGTGGGAGCTGGGGATCAAACCGTGGTCCTCTGCACCTGATTGGGTTTGCCCCAGCAGGCACTTAAACAACTAAACTAACTAAAAGTATCTTTCTCTCAATTCAGAAAGCTGGGCATGGTAACACACACCTATAATCCCAGGACTCAGGAGGCCTAGGCAGGAGAACTGTTGTGAATTGAATGCCAGCCTGGACTACAAAGTGAGCTCAAGGCCAGCCTGAACTGCACAGCAAGACCCTGTTTCAAACAGACCAAAAAAAAAAAAAAAAGAAGTATCTTGGGCTGGGCATGCAGCTCAGGAGAGCATTCTCCTAGAATGCAGGTAACCTGGGTGTAATATCTAGCACTGCTGGGCCAGCCAAATAGCTCAGTGGATTAAAGTGCCTGCTTAGGCAGACTCAGGGGCTGGGGGTTTGATCCCCAGGCCTGCCATGCTGGCCCCGCTCCCAGGGTGCGCTGAGACAGTGTGAGGCTGTAAACAGATGGATCACTATGAGTCTGGTCTACATAGTGAGACCCTGTAGACCCTGTACTAAATATAAAAAAAAAAAAAAAGTAAAATAACAAAAGCATCAGTATTAAAAGTCCTTTATGAAATAAGTGCAGTGGAACTTACTTATGTATTGTAAGCAAGCAACCATAGTAGCAACAAATGCCTCACCCAGGCAGCACCACAGACAGCTGGAAGCAGTCAAAGTGAGCTGGCTTTTCTGTGGGTCACTGTGAGTGGCTGAAACAGAGTGATGCATTCAGCAAAGTTAAAACTTGGAGTAACAAGGTTTAAAACGTGGGGGATTCTGGATATTCATTGGCATCCTGTGTTCTTTCCATCTCATCATCCGTTTCTGGGCTACTTGTTGTGAAGGCTTTTTCTTGGTTACTGCTCTCAGTATCTGTCTGAGATCCTTCGTTTCCTGGCTCTGACAGCCTCAACTTCTTCAGCTGCTGTCCATCGCCTGGGCCCACAGCTCTGCGTTTAGGCTCCTCTGCTGTGTTAGCCAGACTGGCTTCCGGAGAGTCAGCATACTCTACCATCAAGGTCAGCTTGTCTGCCACATCGAGACTGTGTGTGGTATCACATCTGCTTTCAGAAATCTGTCTGGTTTTCAAAGAGATAACACAAGAATGGAGAATTTCACAATCCGGAAAAAAGGTCCGTAAAGCTTGACAAAGAAAATTGTTCTCCTGAGGTTCCTTGTGGACACTGTGCTCTCCTAAAGAAAATAAAGTCACAGTTCAATATATTGGTTCCAAAAGCTTTCAGAAAATAAAAGTCACAGTTCAATATATTGGTTCCAAAAGCTTTCAGAATTGTCAACAAAAAGATCTCAACAATTATCCAAAGAATGAATGACATACATAAATCCCAAATTCCTATTTATATGCCACAATTCCTTTTCTTTTCCCTCTCTTTTCTAGCTCTGGGGATTGAATTTAGGGCCTCCACACTTAACTATATTCCCAACCCTTTTTTATCTTTATTCTTTTTTTTCTCTTTTTTTTGGTGGAACTCAGGCCCTTGCGCTTGCCAGGGAAGCACTTATTCCGCTGAGACATCCCCCCAACCCCCTTTATCTTTATTCTTGAGAAAGGATCTTGCTATGACACCACGTTGTCCAGCTGGGCTCAAACTCTGGATCCTTCTTCCTAAGCCTAACCAGAATCCTACGATTATGTGCATGTTCACCCTACCCTGCTTATATGCTACAATATTCTAAAAGCAAGTAGAATTTATGTGTTAAATATAGCATATCTACTATAGTACCATGTTCTTTGTTCAGTGCGACCGAAGAGTATTAATGATTTTCTGGGGGGTTTTTTTTGGGGGGGAGGGGCAGGGTGTTGCTCTGTCTGTAGTCCAGGCTGGCCTTGAAATCACAGCAATCCTCCTACCTCAGCCTCACAAGTGCTAGGATTAATCCCAAAGTGGCCAAACTTATTGGTTAGAATAGCTGATTCCTCCATAATTTTTTTGTTTAAGACAGGATTTCACTGTGTAGCCCAGGCTGCCCCCAATTCAAAATGATCCTCCTGCCTCTGCCTCCTGAGTGCTGGGATAACAGGTGGGCACCACCACGCTCTGCTCTTCATGATTTAGAATAGCAAAGAGAGCATGGAAAGTAGAGTGAACTTTTTACTTACGTGCTACTTCAATCTGTGCTTGTTGTCTTTTTTTAATTTCTTGTTTTAATATGTTTACGTCCTTCATTAGCATCTCTACTTCTCGTTCACTTCCTTCCACTTTTTTGCATACATCCTACAAAATAAAATATTCGAGGGTATAACTCCCCCAAATTTTGTACTAAAAGTCTAGATTCCCAAATAATGTAAAATTTTCAGTGCGATGTATGATGAATATTTGACATTTGTTTTACTGTGCTATTTTCTAAAGATCTCCAGTGCTTTTTTTTTTTTTTTCACTTAGAAGTTTTCTTATCAAGGAATTAACTGCTGTGGTAAAGCTATACAGAAATAGTAACAAATATCTGAAAAGCACTGGAGATAGGGTTGGCCAGATAGGTAGTAGATTAAAGGGTCTGCTTAGGCAGACGCAGGGACCAGAGTTTGATCTCCAGCACCACAAGCCATGCTGGCACCAGCCCCTAGGGTGTGCTGAGACAGCAATTAAGACTGGGCATGGTGGCACATGCCTATAATCCCAGTGCTTGGGAGGCTGAAAACAGGAGGATCGCCACGAGTCCGATCGGTGTAGTGAGACCCTGTACTAAATACATAACAAAAAACATTTAACTGGGTGTGTTGGCACACACCTGTAACCCTAGTGCTTGGAAGGCTAGGGCAGGAGGATCACTGTTGAGTCTGAGGCCAGCCTAGGTTCCACAGGGAGTTCAAAGCCAGCTTTAACTACTAACTTGAGTCTCGAACCCAGAAACAAACAAAGATATCCCGGTGAGGCAGCAGTAGCTCCAGAGGTCTGCAGTCAAGGGCAATATAGTATGTTGGATTTTTTTTTTTTTTTCCAGTGTGGATTTTTTTTTCCCCCCAGTCTTTTAAGTCTCTTAAGTGGCCCTGCTAGGCTCAAACTTGGGATCCTCCAGCTTCAGCCTTCCAGAGTGCTGGGATAGCAGGGATGCAGGTCAGGCACAGGTGATACACTGTATCTCGAAAAATACAAAGAAACTGAATTTCAGATGTTCTTACCACAATGACACTGATACGAGAAGTAATATGTTTGTTAATGAACTTTTTTTTTTCTTTTTGAGACCAGGTCTTGCTATGCAGTTCAGGCTGGCCTTGAGCTTACTTTGTGTAGCCCAGGCTGATCTCGAACTCACAACAATCCTCCTACCTTAGCCTCCCGTGTGCTGAGATTACAGGTGTGCGCTACCATGCCTGGCAGTGAACTAGACTTAACAAGCTCCAATACTTCAAAACATGAATTACAGTTTATCTGATAAAGTATAAAAGTATACACTGCACTAAAAATAAAAGAATATATAGCAACATGAAAAATGTTTAATGATACATCAAATGTTAAAAATCTCTTGACCAATTCATACTGCCACAACTGTCAACTGCATCAAAATATATATCTGAGGGGCCAGGGAGATGGCTCAGTAGAATAAGTGCTGGCAAGTGCAAGGGTCTGAGTTCAATCCCCGGTTCCGCAAAAAAAAAAAAACAACAACAAAAACAAAAAACCCAGAATATATATTTATTGGGAAAAATGGGAGACTTGGCAGGGTAAGGACAGTCGGGTTGAGGTGAGACTGGCCTCTGCCATCAACACTTCTGCCTCCCATTATACTCACACACCCTATTACATTACTCCCTGCTGTCCAGGGACTCTAATGACCAGTGGTCCCAGCACTCCTGGCTGTGTCACTGGGGGACACAGTGGGCAGCTCCAGCTGTGGCCATCACTATGGCTGCTCTGCAGCTCCCTCCCTCAGTGACACTGAGAGCCCTGGAGTGGCCCTTCATCCACTCACCTGTGGCAACTGTGCTTAGGCTTTCTGAGAGGCCATGGGCCTCCTTGCCCAGCTCCCCTCTGTCCTTCCCAGGCCCAGAGTCTCTCGTTCACGACACCATCCTGCTGGGACTCCTGCTGAGACCAGACCTCGCACAAGAGCAAGAGCACTGTGACGCTGTGGCAGTTGTGCTGCTGCTAAGCATATTCTCCCTCCTCACCTGTAAAGGGTTCTGTGTGTCTGCCTGTTCTGGGTACCTGGTCCTGGGCCAGTGAAGCCCAAGTTCACACTGCTTGTGGGTCTAAGTTCTAAGAGTTTTGTGGGTTCCCAGCTGCCCTCTTGCCTCTTCCTTTTGCCATAAGTCTGTGTCCAAAGCTGGATATGGTGGCACACAGCTGTCATCCCAGCACTGGGGAGGCTGAGGCACGAGGATCGCTACAAGTTCAAGGCCAGTCTGGGCTACATAGAGAGAGACCCTGCCTCAAAAACAAACTTGCCCTGGATAAGTGCTGCTTTTCAGCCTGTAGGGAACATCTGAAAAGGGCACAGCCACAGTAAGACTGTGAGCAGATTAAACTTTTGTGGTGTGTCTCCAAGAGCAATCTTTCTTATAGCAGTTAAATGAGTACAAAGTGAACCTGGTAAGTAAGATTATCCCTAAAAGACTATCATGATCAATTTGCTGTGAATTCTACAATGGCCTCCAAATGCTTGGCATAAAATTACCTTTAACTCTTCTTGCAGAGAAGCATACATTTCATTTATCTTATGTACCTCTTTTAAAGTACCATCTTCTTTAAAAAATTCAGAGCTGAAAAAAATAAAAAATTCAGAGCTGTAAAACACAATTTCCTTGGTTGTCTGTCCACAATTTATAGTACAACAGGGGTGCTAGGAGAATGTAATGCAGCGAGCCACAGTGGCACACCCCTGTAACCTCAGTACTCCAGAGGCTGAGGCAGGAGGATCACCCTGAGTTCATGGCCAACCTAGGTCACAAAGTGAGTTCAAGGCCAACCTGAACTGTATAGTGAAACCCTGTCTCAAACCAAAAAATAAAAACAAAAAAAGAGATTGTAATGGAGGTAGGAAAAACAGTCCGGTTTGCTTGAGTACTCTATTCATTTAATCAATTTTCCCTTTATCTTTATTTGTTGTTGTTTGTATAATAAGACAATTTCAAAAAACAGGAGTAAGTGGTGGAAAAGCAGATGATTAATCTTACCTGTGTGTTTTTACTGCTCTGCTAAAGCCCACAGATGTACAGGAGCCTGATGTAGTTTTATAACCCAGCTGTTCAGACATGCCCAAGTTGGCCACTATTAAAGGGATCCTATGAAAAAGTCTGGAAAGTCAAATGTGTAAGTATAACTTTTTAAATAAAGAGAAAGAACAACAGCTAACAGAATAGATTCCCTAAAGAATTTTTTAAAAATTCCTTACTACTTATGAGGTAAAATTGACATGAAGCAACTTCCTTTTAAAAATTATGAAATGTGGCTGGGCTTAGGGACGCATACCTGTAATCCCAGCATGTGGGAAGGCTGAGGCAGGAGGATCACTTCAAGTTCAAGGCCAGCCTGGGCTACCAAGTAGTTCAAGGCTAGCCTGAACTACATAGTGAAACCCTGTCTTAAAGGACTGAAGGGAAAAAAAAGTGAAATGTGCATGGTAGCAAAGTGTGTGAAAGGGCCAGCAAGACAGCTCAGCAGTCTAAGTGCCTGCCTGGCAAGCACAGGGATGAGGGTTTAATCCCCAGCACCACATGCTGTGCTGGCCCCACCCCTGGGTGTGCTGAGCCAGCCATTGAGACTGGGCATAAAACAGGAGGATCACTATGAGTTTAAGCTGTGTAATGAGACCCTGTACCAAAGACATTTAAAAAAATGTGTTAAAAACTTGTCTTAATTGATCAAGAAAAAAATATATACACATATATGTATATATACATATACATACATACATACATATATATATATATATTTTTGTTTGTTTGTTTTGTTTTTGTTTTTGTTGTTAAAAGAATATATTTATTTGGGGAAAGAAAGCTCCTGTCCAAGAAAAGGACAGAAGGGAGGCCTGAGTGAGTTGTCCCCAAGAATGTATACATTTAAGACAGTCCAGCTAGCTGGAGGCTGAGGCAGGGAACTTCATGCTTTAAGCCAGCATGGCCACACAGACTCCACTTGAGGGTAGGGTGGCTTAGCATCCAGGCAGCCTTGGGTTTGAATCCCAGGGTCACTACCCCCCAAAAGACAGCAAAAACAGTTCTGGCTGAGCATCCCTACTCCAAAAATTTTAAGTTCAAATTCTGAAGCTTTATGAGCACTGTCACAGTATTAATGTTCACTGGATCAGTGAAATTGTTGCACATCTGTAATCCCAGGTACTTGGGAGGCTGAGGCAGGATGATCACAAGTATGCAGCCAGTCAGGGCAACTTAGCAACTTTGTGAGACCGTGTCTCAAAAAATAAAAAAAGGGCTGAGGACGTAGCTCAGTGTGAAGGCCTTGGGTTCAAACTCTTAATACCAAAACAAGGCAGTAAGTAAATGGGAGTCACCAGTACCAGGATACAAGTCATTACACTGGCTCCAAGTTTCTCTGCCTGGCTTCATGTTTTCATTTATGATTAACAGATGGCAAAATCTACTTCATAGAGTTACTGTGACAATCTAATGCAACACTGGATAAACCCTTGGTAAGCTGCAAAAACTACTGTCAAGTACTAGGCATACTAGAGGCTGGGCAACACTTACCCTTTCTGCGGTTTGTATAAGGCATGTTCCAGCCGATGAGTGGAACAGCTTTCTGTCACAATGCTTGGTGTTAACAAGAGAAACACAAGTTCCTCACTTGAAAGGTGCTTTTGTAAGTTTCTGTGAAGCAGCCTTTCTCTAAATGTCATGATCTGATCGGTGTGACGACGGAACTTGTACCAACCTACCACATTCTGAAAGAATACAGAAAAAAAGAGATAAGGGCCTCAGTTCTATAGCTCATAATTAGCTTGCTTTCCTAATAACAAGACTTGGGACATCAATATGCAAAGACTACCCTTAGTTACAAGCTTTGCAAACTGACTTACACTTAAGTTACTTTCTATTCAGTGGGAAGGCCACAATTTTGCCCCATGTAGTTTACCAGGAGAAAAGTAACTTATCCTAGTTTCTTAGGGCATTTGCTCTCTTGCCACCTTCATTTTTAGTGAAAATTTATATGAAATAATACCAGTGTAATCACTCCCTAGAAACAATTTCCTGCATGCATTTTTGGTTTATTAAATGAGCTAAGCTGATCCCTATAACTTTTACCTGACATTTAGTGGGAGTACTCTTCACTCACCCAAGACATAGGCTTCAGTGTTAAGATCATGTGACAGGGTCTTTATAAACTGTAACATGCTAAATGTGTTGTTAGCATTACTAAGTCACTTTTAACTGGAAAAATATCATTTAATAAAAACAGTTGTAAAAAATGATTCAGAAGAGTCTGTGAATTTATAAGAATCAGCAACTAAATTTTACATTTGCACATTTAAGCTGAAGAAATTAAAACTTTTTCTTCTTTTAAAAATTAAGGAATCTGGGCTGGGGAGATAGCTTAGTGGTCTAAACACCTGCCTGGGGAGTGAAACAACCTGAGTTCAATTCTCCCTGGTATTACATGTTGTGCCAGAACCCAGGCACAGTGTATGAGCCGCTGAAACTAGGTATGGTGGTGCACACCTGTAATCCCAGCTCTAGGGAGGCTTAGACAGGAGGATCACTATGAGTCTGAACTGCACAGTGAGACCCAGTATCAAACAGATAAATTTGTTTTAAAATAAGACGTGGCCAGGGATTTATAACACAGCAGCACAGTACCTGCCTGGCAAGTGCAAGGTCCTGATTTCAATTCCCAATAGCCCCCCAAAATTTAAGGCATCTTTACAAGTATATTTTTAAAGTAGTCAAATAGGACTGTGAGGGGCCAGGGAGATAGCTCAGTAGAATTAAGTGCTTGCCTGGCAAACACAAAGGCCCGAGTTCAATTCCTGGTTCTGGAAAAAAAAAAAAAAAAAGAACTGTGAAAAACTCCCAAGCATTTTCAACAAAATTTTGGAACGTAAAATAAATTTTGGAACATAAAACTTCTTTTACTATATTTAATTTTCAGATCAAGTGTAAGTTTTAGGAGAAGAAAAGTCTCAGTAGAAAAGTACTCTGAAAAAACTTCACTTTGGGGCTAGAAAAATCCATCTTGATTACTCATTAACTTTCCATTGAGCCTCCACCCTGTTGTCGAGATCTGTCATCAAGTGCTATGTAGGAAACTGTCCCTGCAGATAGCTCTAAGAAAACCCTGATTGCACAGTGTGCTCACCTGTATCCCGGCTGCAGGGAGGCTGGCGGAGTCCCCAGAGCCTAGGAGCTCAAGCCCTGCCTAGGCAACACCAGAGACCCTGTCTCAAAGAAATGGACTAAGCTCTAGATAAATCCTGCTGGTGAGGGTGTGGGGGGAAGGGAGCATCATTAGAAGAGCCAAGCGAAGGATGAGATCAAGACTGCTGATGCCTGGTTTTGTGTCCTAAGCACACTCCTTGGACTGCTGAGAACGAGCCTTCTCTCCTGCTTCGCTGTCCAGCACGAAGTACAGCTTAAAAGTTATGTCAAGCACTGTTTTTAAGAGTTGAAAATAATGGATATAAAACCAGTAAAAAGTTAATCCAGATACCTTTTTGACCTTTGAAAGTATTTTCTTCAGTGCGTGCTCATTGACTTCACCTGAGGAGTTATAAAAGCTGTGAAAGTCAAAATGAAAGACATTTCAAATGAGCTAGAAATCTGAATGGTATTATTTGCATTTTTAATCTTAGTTACTCCTGACTCAGAATACCCAACCAAAGTTCATACCTACCTGCCTGTCACCTAAAGTTCTAAAGAACAGAGAAAGTTCACAAATTAACAGACTTAAAGTGGCAGAAACAGGTGGTGTCTAGCAAAAAGGAGAAGTGGAGAAATCTGAAGAGCCAAGTATATACATTGTATGTTTTTAGCCTAAAACGAAATATTAAACTATCCATTAAATACAGGTACCAAAAATAACCTCATAAACCAACTCATTCAATTTGCTTATCACCATTCTTTACTGAAACATGATTGAGTGCATAACTGAGGTATGTTAGCAAAAGGACAAATGTGTTCACCATTGGCTCCCAAAGCTCCGTGTTGGAGGAGTCAGTGGGTGTCCTGGGTAGTTGAGTTTGGTGTTTTTTCTTCTCTAGTTGAAATGTCTGCTATATCCAAAGATTCAGGGGCCTGAGAGAGAATTTAGTGGCATAAGCACCTGCCTGGTAAGTGCAAGGTCCTGAGTTTGATCCCCAGTACCACAAAAAAAATCCAAAACAAACAAAAAAGATTTTAACCATGAATGGTATACTTCCTTTTAGCGTTTGGATTAATAATATTTATTTTGATTTTGTTTGTTCTTGGTTATTTGAGACAGGGTCTCTCTATGTAGTTCAGGCTGTTTTTGAACTCATGTAGCCTAGGCTGCCTCAGCCTTGCAGCAGCTCCTCCTGCCTCAGACTCCCCAGTGCTAGGATTACAGATATGCGCCACCACACCTGGACTTCTATTTTTACTATGGTAAAATGTTAGTTAAAATAGCCTTTATCACAAAAGGTTTTACTGGTATTTCATGAAAACATTTAGCTACATAAATCTGAATAGAACCCTAGCAGTATTTTTACGTTTTAAAATTTATAGGGACTTATATTAAAACATTTTTAATGGGAAAACAGACAAAACAAAGTGACACCAGATATCAAAGGAAGATTCCAAGTTGATCAAACAAATCCCTTGATTCTGCTCATGTCGCAATGTGAAAGCTGCACAACAGCTTACTGCTGTCTCCTGAGCTGCTCTGAGGCCTGAGTTTCATGCCAGGGTGCAGGAGCCTGAGGGGATACCGCACATGTGTGGAGCACAGATTTTTGGTCAAGCTTGAGGGAAGAGGGGCACAACTTTTATACAGAAATTAGGTACGCTGTGCAGAGTTCCTAAGTTCATATATATTTTTGGTTTTTTTTTTTTTTTGTGGTACCAGGGATAGAACTTGGGACCTTATGCTTGCTAGGCAGGCACTTATGCCACTGAGCTATCTCCCAGCCCATTGTTTTTCTGACATAGGGTCTCATTATGTAGCCTAGCCTGGACTTGAACTCTCATAGATTCTCTTGCCTCAGCCTTCAAAGTGCTGAGATTACAAGTGTGTGCCAACACACTGGCAAGTTAATTTTGGTTTGTTTTTTTTTTTGTTTTGTATTTTAGGGAAGGGTCTACAGGGTATTCAGGGTCTCACTACTAGATCGGACTCGTTATCCGCCTGTTTACAGCCTCCCAAGAGCTGGGATTACAGGCACGTGCCACCATGCCGTCTCTGGCAAGTTAATTTTGAAGTGACTTAGTTTTAAACTTCAGTGAGATGTTTCCCAGGTACCTCCCCTGAATTCTTATGGTACACAAAGTGGGATATTCCAGTGAGAAAGTGTGAGAAGTAGTAATTGCTGCAGGGCTGGCAAACTTTTCCTTTATGGCTGGATTATGTAATTAGAGCTTTGCTAACCATGTATGGTTTCAAGTGGGCATGATCCCTCTGGTTTTCTTTAGCCTTAATTTTTTTTTTTTTTTTAAGACAGGGTCTTACTATGAAGTCTAGGCTGTTCTTGAACTCACAAGGATCCTCCTGCCTCTGCCCTCAGCCTTCCAAGTTCTGTGATTACAGGTCTGTACCACCACTCCTGGCCCCAAAAGTACGTTTTTAGATTGAGGGCCACATGAAAACAGTTCACTGGGGTCTACTTTGCCACCATTAAAGCACAAAACTGTGTGAAAGTTCATACAAAAACACAAAGGCTTGGTGAAACTTTTCATCTGCCATGTCCCCAAAACACGCCTTAACCATATGCCCACCTGGCTCTATGTGTGTACTGGCAGCGTGACTGCAATTATTTTTTTTAATATAAATCATAAAGCTTCCTGTGTGTGCTTTTCTATGTGTATGTTACTCCTCAGTTAAAAAAATCCAGCCTATGAGAGCTAATAGTTCTACTCCTGTATAGGTTAAGAACACAAGCCTGCACCCTAGGTAAGCACCAGGGGGGCTGGGGAGATAGCTCAGTTGTCTAAGCTCCTCCTGCCTGGCAAGTACAAAGACCCAAGTTCAATTCCTGGTACCACATGCATGCCATGCCAGTCCTGAAACCCCCCCGGCATGGTGGTGCATGCCTGTAATCCCAGCACAAGAAGCTGACACAGGAAGATCACTACAAGTCTATAGTGAAACCCTGTACCAAATACACAAAATTAAAGAAAAAACAAGTCCATGTATGACTGGTGCCTAAGGTGCCAGGTCACTTTAAAAATTCTTCCACTTACAGAGATCACTTGTAGAACTCACTTGCTCTCACTACTCACCTGAAAAGCCGGTAGCATGGAATGTATTTCTGAATGTCTGGAAAAGGAGAAGTTTTGGTTATGAGTTATTTAGTTTCAGTTAGTCATTGAGTAACCATGTGAATAACATACTGAGCATTTGGCAGACCAAGAAGTTCTTCACTGCGGATTAGTGCATTTACTCCGCACAGCGCTCTTGGTTGTTGCATGGTCTCCCCATGCCAGCCAAGTCCAGCCCAGTCTCCCTGAGCACACGCTTCAGGCCCTGCACACAGGGGCTTGATACCTGCCTCACAAGAGGAGTTCAACCTGCTGTGTCTGCACTGAGTACTCTCAGTTTACCCAATGGATAAAATTTAGGAGCATCTGTTAAAGGGAATCTCTTTTTTTATTCCAAGAAATTGTTGCATAAAGCTCTTCTCAGTGTTAGCTGCTAATCAAAGAAAACAAAACAAGAACCCCAATGGCTTCAAAGGGAAGGTTTTTTAAATTTTATTTTAAAGAGAAAAAAACAAAAACCATGATACGGGCTTGCAAAATAGCTCAGCGGTCTAAAGCGCCTGCTTAGGTAAGCTCAGGCAAAGTGCAGGGACTGTGGTTTGATTCCCCACACCATATGCCATGCCAGCCCCACCCCCAGGAACAGCTGAGCTGGCCACATTAAAATAAATAAATATGATACAAAATTTCAGAACAAGATAGTAGGAGAGTGAGAGTAACAAAAGTTAGCATACTGCTTTTAAAAAAATTTTTTTTTAATTTATTTTGTATGCTAGGGAAGGATCTACAGAGTGTTCAGGGTGTCACTAGTAGATCAGACTCTTAGTGATCCATCTGTTTACAGTATCCCAAGAGCTGGGATTACAGGCACGCGCTACTTCATCCAGTCTCAATTGCCATCTCAGCCTGCGCTGGTGGCGGGACCAGAACAGCAGGCCTGGGGATCAAACCTCTGGCCCTTGCACCTGCTTGCAAGCACTTTAATCCGCTGAGCTATTTGGCCAGCCCAATTGATTAAATTTTATTTTATTTTATTATTATTATTATTTATTTATTTATTTATTTATTTATTTTGCAGAACCGGGGATTGAACTCAGACCCTTGTGCTTGCCAGGCAAGCACTTATTCTCCTGAGCCATCTCCCTGGCCTCTATTATTATTATTTTTAAATTAATTTTATTGAGAAAGAAATAGCAATGAGATAGTTTCAAAACAGGTTAGTAGAACAGTTACAATAATTAATACATTGTATATTGTTGTCTTCATAGTAGTTATTCATAGTACAAGATGCAGACATGGTATCTTGTCTAAACACTATTAGTAGAAATCTTTCTTCTCATTGAATGCTGATACCTGTGAACTAAGCAACTACACTGAGGATAGCAATGTGTAATACTAGAGCCATACTTGGAGTGCCTGTCATTCTGGTCTCCTAACTGCGTACTGCTTCTAATGTTATGTCAATTATTGCTATAGTCTCTCTGGTAATAAGAGAAGACAAGAGACAAGAAGAAAATGTCATAGGACTGTCCTGTTACAATGTTGTATGATTAGATTTCTAAATTTCTGTGTAAAAATGTGTAATTTCTTATTTTTAAAATTTTTTTTCACATTTGATAGGGATTTAAAGTTTAGCAGATCAATGATTGACTTTTAAAGGGGAATTTTCCT